TAATGTGACGTTATTATAAATCCAATATGGTGGATGTTACAAAATTGCGGTTTTATAATTTTCATAGTAACCCCTACGGTATGGGTATCAAAGAAGGGACTTGATAAGCCAAACACAATAAATATTCCGACGTTATTATCAATCCAATATAGAGGACGTCACAGAATTGCCATTTGTAATTTTCAAAGTAACCCCTATTATATGGATATCAAATGAAAGTACTTGATAAGTCAAACACAATAAGTAATGCGACGTTGTTATCAATTCAATATGGCGGACGTCACTGAATTGCCGTTCATAATTTTCATAGTCACCCGTACGATATGGGTATCAAATGAAGGAGCTTGATAAGCGGATCAACATAAGTTAGGTGGCGAAATTATCAATCCAATATGGCGGACGTCACAGAATTGCAATTTGTAATTTTCATAGTAGCCCCTATTATGTGGGTATCATATGAAAATACTTGATAAGTCAAACACAATAAATAATGCGACGTTGTTATCAATCCAATATGACGGACGTCACTGAATTGCCGTTCATAATTTTCATAATAACCCGTACGATATGGGTATCAAACGAAAGGGCTTGATAGGCGGATCAACATAAGTTTGGTGACGTAATTATCAATCCAATATGGCGGACGTCACAGAATTGCCATTTGTAATTTTCATAGTAACCCCTATTATATGGGTATCAAATGAAAGTACTTGATAAGTCAAACACAATAAGTAATGCGACGTTGTTATCAATCCAATATTGCGGACGTCACTGAATTGCCGTTTATAATTTTCATAATAACCCGTACGAAATGGGTATCAAACGAAAGGGCTTGATAGGTAAATCAAAATAAGTTAGGTGACGCAATTATCAATCCAATATGGCAGACGTCACAGCATTGCCATTTGTAATTTTCATAGTAACCCCTATTATATGGGTATCAAATGAAAGTACTTGATAAGTCCAACACAATAAGTAATGCGACGTTGTTATCAATCCAATATGGCGGACGTCACTGAATTGCCGTTCATAATTTTCATAGTAACCCGTACGATATGGGTATCAAACGAAAGGGCTTGATAGGTGAATCAAAATAAGTTAGGTGACGTAAGTATCAATCCAATATGGCGGACGTCACAGAATTGCTTTCTGAAATTTTCATAGGAACCCCTATTATACGGGTATCAAATGAAAGTACTTGATAAGTCAAACACAATAAGTAATGCGACTTTGTTTTCAATCCAATATGACGGACGTCACTGAATTGCCGTTCATGATTTTCATAGTAACCCGTACGATATGGGTATCAAACGAAAGGGCTTAATAGGTGAATCAAAATAAGTTAGGTGACGTAAGTATCAATCCAATATGGCGGACGTCACAGAATTGCTATTTGTAATTTTCATAGTATCCCCGTACGATATGGGTATCAAATGAAAAAGCTGGATAAGCGGATCAACATGAGTTAGGTGGCGAAATTATCAATCCAATATGGCGGACGTCACAGAATTGCCATTTGTAATTTTCATAGTAACCCCTATTATATGGGTATCAAATGAAAGTACTTGATAAGTCAAACACAATAAGTAATGCGACGTTGTTATCAATCCAATATGGCGGACGTCACTGAATTGCCGTTCATAATTTTCATAGTAACCCGTACGATATGGGTATCAAACGAAAGGGCTTGATAGGTGAATCAAAATAAGTTAGGTGACGTAATTATCAATCCAATATGGCGGACGTCACTGAATTGCCGTTCATAATTTTCATAGTAACCCGTACGATATGGGTATCAAACGAAAGGGCTTGATAGGTGAATCAAAATAAGTTAGGTGACGTAATTATCAATCCAATATGGCGGACGTCACAGAATTGTCATTTGTAATTTTCATAGTAACCCCTATTATATGGGTATCAAATGAAAGTACTTGATAAGTCAAACACAATAAGTAATGCGACGTTGTTATCAATCCAATATGGCGGACGTCACTGAATTGCCGTTCATAATTTTCATAGTATCCCCGTACGATATGGGTATCAAATGAAAGAGCTTGATAAGCGGATCAACATAAGTTAGGTGGCGAAATTATCAATCCAATATGGCGGACGTCACTGAATTGCCGTTCATAATTTTCATAGTATCCCCGTACGATATGGGTATCAAATGAAAGAGCTTGATAAGCGGATCAACATAAGTTAGGTGGCGAAATTATCAATCCAATATGGCGGACGTCACAGAATTGCCATTTGTAATTTTCATAGTAACCCCTATTATATGGGTATCAAATGAAAGTACTTGATAAGTCAAACACAATAAGTAATGCGACGTTGTTATCAATCCAATATGGCGGACGTCACTGAATTGCCGTTCATAATTTTCATAGTATCCCCGTACGATATGGGTATCAAATGAAAGAGCTTGATAAGCGGATCAACATAAGTTAGGTGGCGAAATTATCAATCCAATATGGCGGACGTCACAGAATTGCCATTTGTAATTTTCATAGTCACCCGTACGATATGGGTATCAAATGAAAGGGTTTGATAGGCGGATCAACATAAGTTAGCTGGCGAAATTATCAATCCAATATGGCGGAAGTCACAGAATTGCCATTTGTAATTTTCATGGTAACCCCTACGGTATGGGTATTAAATAAGAGGCCTTGATAAGCGAATCATAATAAGTAATGCGACGTTATTATGAATCCAATATGGCGGACGTCACGGAATTGCTATTTGTAATTTCCAGCGTAACCCCTATGACATAGGTAACAAATGATAGAGCTCGATAGGTGAAGCACAATAACCAATGTGACGTTATTATAAATCCAATATGGCGGACGTCACAGAATTGCGGTTTTATAATTTTCAAAGTAACCCCTACGATATGGGTATCAAATGAAAGGGCTTGATAAGCGAAACGCAATAAATAATATGGCGTTTTTATAAATCCATTATGGCGGACGTCACAGAGTTGCGGTTTCATAATTTTCATAGTAACTCCTACCTTATGGGTATCAAATGAAAGCGCTTGATAAGCGAAACACAATAAAGCATGTGACGCTATTACAAATTCAATATGGCGGACGTCACGGAACTGCTATTTGTAATTTTCAGAGTAACCCCTATAACATGGGTAACAAATGATAAAGCTCGATAGGCGAAGCACAATAACCAACGTGACGTTATTATAAATCCAACATGGCGGACGTCTCAGAATTGTTCGAACATTCGTATTAAATGATAGAGCTCGATAGACGAAGCACAATAACGAATGTGACGTTTTTATCAATCCACTATTGCGGACGTCACAGTATTGCGGTTATTATTTTATCGTAGTTACCCCTACGATATGGGTAGCAAATGAAAGAACTTGATAAGCGAAGCACAATAACTAATGTGATGTTATTATAAATCCAATATGGCGGACGTCACAGAATTGCGATTTAATAATTTTCAAAGTAACCCCTACGATATGGGTATCAAATGAAAGGGCTAGTGAAACACAATAAGTTATGACGTTATTATAAATCCAATATGTCGGATGTCACCGAATTGCGATTTATAATTTTCAGAGGGATCCCTATGTATGGTATGAGTATTAAATGAAATCGTTTGATAAGCGATACACCATGAATAATGTGGCGGTCATTCTAAATACAATATAGCGGAAGTCTCATATGATGTTTCAATATTATTATGATAAGTAGCTGACCTGATGATGGAGCTGGAATGTGGCCATGACTAAAGATATTTACTCCTTGCTAAGAGAAATAGAGCATTTGAGTGGCGAATGGAATGCGCCCCCCGTGTTGAAGGATGTTATATCTGTAGCGTACAGGCCCCAATGCTAAGGTTACTATGTTGTTTTATACCTAGAATCAAAGCTATCCGCAAATGATTATCAGTATGTCGCTTTGAGTAGTCAGATCGCTAAAAGGACTGCGGATCGAGGAACTGGATAACTCGAAACTGACTGGAAAGAAACCATGTAATGATGATCCATTGATAGAAATGATCAGAATGAGAAATATACAGACAAATTTTATTTGATGATGGTTATTTAATAGCCAACCCTGTTATTCTATTTGTGTGATAAATAGATTACAATATGCAGAACAGGGTTTCAAAAGGAGGTGCATGCGAAATACATGTACGTCAGTTCACTTAACTCTTATCTCCAAGGGTCAATATCTTAATTTTCACGTGGTAGAACCTGTTAATCCGAAACGTTCAATGGCAAGCAGACTGACATAGATGGATAGTAAATCTAATTGATGTCGTGATATTGATAAGAATAAAATAAGATTGCAGAAGTCTTAAAAAAGTATAAGACACTGCCTAATAGCCAATTATTATTATTATTATTGGTTGATGCAATTTCTAGTTGTAAATTTATGTGAAAATGATCATAAGAAGTATTAAACGCCTTAAAAACGTTGACAAATACTAGATATTGTTATATTGAATGCAAAATTTGAAAAGTTTAGATACAATAAAAAGTAGAAAATAAAATTACATAAGAATGTTTTTTAAATATGTAAAAGTTTTATTAAACAATAAATATAAAAAT